AGGGCTGGCGGGGATGGCCGCGCTGCTCCTGAGTGTGTGGGGCTGCAGGGGTGGATGGGGGCCGGGGCTGTGCCCGGGCTCTTCCCCGGGGAGCCCAGCGACACCTCTGCCCTCTCCTTCTTCAATGGCTCTTTCCCCCTCCTGCCTCTCTCCCGCCCTTTCTGCCCCTTGCCGGACCCTCCTAGTCCCCTCTTCTTTTTTTCCGCATTTCTCCACTACCTCTATCAGTACGAGCCAGATAGCATGAACTGCTGCCTTTCCATGCATCTTCTCCTTCCCCTGTGCATTCAGCAGTTATTTTTACCCCAACTATAGCCCTTTCTCCTTCACTGTGACAGCCCCTCTCCCTGTCTTCTCCTCCTCTCTTCCACCTGCCCACACAGCCACCCATCTTCTGACCCATCTCTCCAGGCATCAATAACAGCTCTTCCTATTCTTCTTCCCTGCCTGCACTCACCCATACCGGGATCATGGGCACATGCCCCCATTCATTCCAAACTGGTGCTGTCTCAGTGCAACTCTTTACTGTAACACACCCACCTCTCCTGTGTCCTCTTCTTCTCTCCATCCATCCATCCAGCCATCCCTGTACATGGCTTTCATTCGAATTCTTCATGCATCTATTTCAAAGTGCCTTCCAGACTTGTCCCCTGTCACCACTCACCCACACCAAGGTCACTCTCGATCCATCTTGCTGAGCACATTGTCCCTATTTGTTCTGGTCCAGCTCTATCCCACTGCCACTCTTTCTGACGATTTCTCTGGGAAAAAAAGCCATCAGAGCTGGGTGATTTTTGGTGATCTTCGGTCTCTCCTTCTCCTCTCTTGGCAGTGGCTGTGGGCAGAGCCCAGGTGCAGCAGGAGCCATTGGCAGAGACCACCGAGGGCACCAGCATCAGCATCAACTGCTCACACCCCAACATACAGACCAGGGATTTCATCTACTGGTACCGTCAGCTCCCGGGACGAGGCCCCGCATTCCTCGTGGGCACTCTTAAGGATTCCAAAGCAGTGCAGGAGCCTTTGGGGCAGCTGCGGGGGGC